ATCGATTTAATTTGTAATCCTTACACAATAGATCGAAGTGCTAAAAGTTCTGGAATCTTGTAAGGAATAAGGAAAGCTTTACTGAGGTATTTATGGCTAAAACCCCGTGTTTTAGAAATTGAGCTTCATCGATGTTTGTGTGGGCATGGTAAGATTAAAGTTGAATTGTTGCATTGCTTATTGTTTTACATAAGTTAGTGTTGTAACCCTATGTGTGTGAAAAATGTGTCCCAACATAATCAACGTGCTATCTTGACAGCTTGAAAGGGGCCAAGGTATGAATTATGTATTGGAAATGCTTAGACCATAAATTGAGATTGCAACTGAATATATTGTGCTATCTACATGAAATCTTATCTATGTTTACAATTTAAATTGCTCTTGTGTGCACCTACTGTCCTATTTCTCAAAGCTAATATTGAAAATTTGGAACGATGTAAAATGCCGCGTAGTGCCAAGAATGATTTGATAAGTCGTGGCCCCAAGTGCCTATGAAATTATATATGTGAAATGAATTGATTTATGAGAACGTAACAATGCCTTGATGAGGCGACCTAGCCGATCGGGTTGATATCGGACTCCGCTCAAGATAGCGGTGGTATTGGAAAGGTATTGTGAATGAATTCCGGAAAAGAAGGAAAATGAGATTGTGATTGAAGCATATGTCTCAAATGAGGCAACCTAGCTGATCGGGTCGAGATCGGACTCCTCTCAAGATAGAGGTGGTACTGGAAACATATGATGAATAGTATGGAATGCCCCAAACTAAAAAGCTATGGAAAAATGATGTGGAAGTTGTATGATTCTTTTATTTGATGATGTGGTGATTGTTAAAGCTTTTGATTGACCTATATGATTTCTTTATTCTTGTTTGATAGTTCTTTCTAATGAGAAGGTGTTTATGATTTCTTTGTTCTTGTATGATAGTTCTTTCTAACTAGATGGTGTTTAGTTATACATACTAGTGCTATTCGATAGCACTAACGTCCCATTTGCAGGGGGTGCTACATTTTTTTAAATGAATGTAGGTATCTCCATAGTGGATAGTGCCGGTCGTGTGTAGCGAAATATCCCTCTTCTCAAGATCTTGGTGAGCCCCTTTCTCCTTCAAGGGGCTATATTGTATATCTTTGTATTGTGGACTTTCACTTTTGAGGTATAGCCGGGGCCTTGTTGTCGGCGTTGTCAAACTCATCTTTTGTATCCTAGAGGCTCTGTAGACATATGTGTGGGTTATGTACGGGCATTGGATGGGTCTACGAACTATGATGTAATTCAAATTCTTGTTTTGCTAAAGTGTAATTGTATGTAATCTTGGGAACTTAATTACGGATTAATGTTGTGATTTAAAATTGTAGAATGCACTATCTTTCCTCATCTAAGCAAATGAATGAAAACATGGTTTCCTTATTCGTATCGAGTTGGGTAGGAAGTGTTTGATAAGGCTTGCTCAGTTAGGTTTACTCGATTAAGCACCGGTCGCGCCTCCCGAGGTTGGGGCGTTAAAAACTTGGTATCAGAGCCTAGGGTTTTAAAGTGTCCTAGGATGTCTCGAAGCCGTGTCTGGTAGAGTCCTTCTTATCGGTGTGAAGTCGACCACATCTATAAGTTGGAGGCTACATGGACATTTAGGAATGTTACCCTTCTTCAACACTCGAGATCGTGCGATAAAGCTTGACAATAAGATTGTCTTCTAACTCGTGCATTGAGATTCAAGATAAGTTCAAACGCTCTTTCCTCTATTTCAAGTAATGTTGTCGTATGGCCTGACCAATGGGCAAAGGCCTGAATATTAAGGAGATGGCATATGTATCATGTTGAACGAATGGTACGAATATATGAGGTACATACATAGTACCAGAAGCATACTTTATTCGAGAAAGTGTTAAAAAAATGATTGTGACCTCCAAAAAGACATTGAATTGATAAGTGATATGTAAGCTTGAATAGCACATGTGGGTAGTGTGAGAAGTATGTAAATGATCCTAAGGTGTGAATAAAAATTAGTTATATAAGCACGTGATATATGGGAGACATGACCAGGAGATTAATGATGAGAGTGAAAGTCTCTCCTAGGAGACAAGAAGTTATGAAATGAGAGTCAATTAAACCTATAATGAGAAGACCCATGTACTACGAACTTTATAAAAATCCAGAAGTGTACAAATTGATATTACACCCCTAAAGGATATTGATATGAGGAATTGGAATCCCAAGCCTGTGTGACTAAATAATAGCAGAGAACTTATGAGGTTAATACCATGGTGACTTAAATTTTCTTAATAGTCGAACATATATATGAGGGATAGAGATATGAGACATATGTCCCTAAAGTTGCTAAATTCAAGACTTGTGTAAAAATCCGGTCATTCGCCCTAAGTGGGGGAGGAAAGGCCATAGTAAGGACACTTAACTACAATGAAACAAGAGTAAGACCATGTAGATATGATGTTTGAATATTTTGTTGAAGATATGCATAGTCTAGAAAAGTGATAATGGATAACGTGATTATCTGAAAGGATATGCTAATGATAGACCGCTAGTACCCCCAAGAATGTGGAAGGTTAAGAAAGGTAAATTCCTCATACATGGCAATGTGAATGATCGGGTCAACGATCCTAGAAACTAAGAGTATATTTGTAAAAGGATTTTATAGTTGTCGCGCCCAGTTTTTCTAAGGCGAAATCGGGTTCATAACATATGGGATGGAAACTCTTTCCCTTTTGGGAATTGGGTTTTTTTGGGTTGAAGAGTCGCCACCTAATGATTAAAGTGCATTAGGACACTAAAGAAGAGTTCGAGTTGGAAAACCATAGTTCGGGTAAGAGCTAGAAATTATCTCGAGGGGAAGGTGTTAGGCACCCCCCAAGATCCACTAGTGTGGTTTCCGGCTATGTTATAATTGTGACTTTGAATAACAAGTAAGCAAATAGAAGTCTCAAGTAGAGGGGGGGTTTCACATAATATTGCAAGCAAGTTGAGAGTTTGACGAAAGTAAAGAAAGTAGAAATTTTAAAGAAATAGTTTGAGAATAAAATAAACAAATAAAGGAAAGGGGGTCCTAGGTTTACAAATAATATGGATCACATCAATGCAATACCCGGTAATCACTCCTCAAAGAAGGGCTACACGTGGTATTAGTGCACCGGTCATCATATCCATATCTACACTTCCACCCAGTTAAGGTATTAAAGCACGGAATAGTATCGTTTCTTATTGCATGCTATTACCCATCCTAATCCCATCAGTCCTGGAGGCATTTGAGACTACCAATCTTAAAAGGGATGGAGTTGGGGCTTTTCAGAGTTTTCAAAGGATAAAACGTCTAGGCGACAAACAAAAAACATAAGCAATTTGGGGAAAAACAAATAGCAGTTAAGGCTCAAACAAGCCTCCTCACCCAGAGGAGCAAATATATAGCATAACTTCAAATACTAGTTATGGTCTGAATTAAAGCGTTAGGACAGGCTGATTTATCACATATTTCTTAGATGAGGAGTCCGAATTAGCCTTGTCTGATTGTAGTTTATCAAAACTGACACAATTAATTGATCACCTAATGGTTTGCCTACGTGAGACCTATAGGCATGGCATCGAACAACACTGATTTTAAAGAAAGGATTACTGGTTTTATAAACAATAGTTCTTTAGATTGTAAACGATATTACTACTGATTTTAAACTCAGAGATTGAATAACGAAACTGATTCAATTGATTACTCCTATAGGCATGATTTCTAAGCGTTATTGGTTTTTAAACGATTGCAAAAATGCAACAGTCCTATAGGCATGATATCTAGAATGAAGTTGATTATTATTAAACCTATGATTGCATGCCTAATGACATGTATATGCAGAAATGCAGAAAATCTATGATCATGATTTCTATATGCACAAATGCAGAAACTTAGACACAGGATTTCTATATGCAGAAATGCAAAAACCTAGATACAGGATTTCTATATGCAGAAATGCAGAACTTATAGGCATAATTTCTAAGATGCAGAAATTTATAAGTAACCTATAGGCATGATGTTTATGTGAATGCAGGAATCAGATAAACCAATAGGCAAGTTATCTACCCCTTTGAATATATTCATCCCATCCCTTTCCACTAGCCATCCCCAATTGTTATTACAAATTATTACAGAACCGAATAACTAAAACAAAAAAAGGTAAAAAATTACATCACAAGTTCCAGGTACAACCGAACAGCCTAATTCAGACTCAAAGTCCAACAATATGAGATAAACCAACTTCCAGGATCGGATTTCCAAAAGCCTTTCTCATACTTGGGATGTGTCAAAGTTCCTATGAGTCTCAAAGGGGGTCTGGGCAGTGCTTACATCCCAAAGACATTGCAAAATTAAGATCATAGTGTAGTGTCGAAGGGCCAGCCCTCAGATGTCCAAGTTCAGAGGAAACTCAAGGTCCCAAAGCAAGGCTCATAAGAAGGGGGCAGAACTTAAGAGTGTAGACATGAAATTTTTGACACTTCCCAAGATTTTTTATATTTTAGCATGTAAATATTTAATTTAGGCCTAATAGCATTATATTAACTAATTTTGACTCTTTCACTTTATTTTATTACAAGAAAATGAAAATTACAAAAAATAGTTTCATTAATGTTTGTAGTCATTTTTAATCTCTAAAAATACCAAAAAATAGTTTTGTTTTAACGGTTAGTCTTTATTTTAATAATTATTTTTACTTAAGTAGAGCTAATTAATATTTTTGATAATAATTTTAGTTAATTAAACATAGCTAGTCATAAAGGCCCAAGTTTCTAGCCCATTCCTTAAGCTCAATATCCAATGTCCATTAAGTTAATCCTAGGGACCCTTCTAGACTCTTTTTTGGAACAAAAAATAAATAAAAAGACCCTAAGGACTTAACACAAAAAGACCTAGGGACTAATTGGCAAAATACACAAAAATACACATTTAGACCTAGATCTATATAATAGGGGTAATACCTAATGCTGAAGGGAGGACCAAAAAAAAGCTGCGGCGGATATTTTTCATCGAAAATGACCCCAAAATGACCCCATCGGTTCTTGTTCATTCCCTTTCCCAAAGCAAAAATGTTGAAGAAAACAACAGACCCCTACACTCAAAAGAGAAGCAATTAGTCGCATACAGATCTCTGTTGAACCTATTTCCAAAATTGAAAGAATCTCAAAAATTAGTCGTCTTCACCAAATAAATTCTAGTAAGTCAATCCCTGTTTCTAATTCCATTTTCCTACTGTATTTCCAAAATCGCTAACATTCTTCTTCTTGTTCTTAATTTTAAAAGAATCCAGTGGCCATTCCCCTTGGATATTGATCATCTTCTTTCTCTCGAAATTAAAGGGGCACACACATATACGGGTAGGGACAGAGAGCAGCGAACTCACATGAACACTTCCCAAGTACCCGTTTCCCCTCATTCCCCAATTCCTACAAGCCCACCCAAAAAATATCGACCCAAAAAATATCATAAACAAGTTGAAAAATCAGTTTGAAACCATCATCCAAACCCAGTAGAAATTAGTCTGTTCGAGGACATCAATTTTTGTCGCCGATGAGTTCTCCGATTGAGGTGTTTGTTCGTGGCTCGGTCGCTTTTTAAGTTTATAGTTGTCCAACAAACAAAGTTCAAATTCAGTTTAATAAAAAGGTTCTTCTGTCTCTTGTTCCTATATTTTCTTTGTATTTTATGTGTAGGGATATGATGTTACTCTTAAATATCATGCTAAATTTTTGGTTTATGGATATCACTGTTTATCTCTGAACCGGCATGTTAAAATGAGTATCTTGAGTTATATATTTGTTTGTCTTTTGTGTTTTAATTGTTCAATGTGAGAAATTGGTTTATGATCGAAGAATTCTTTCTTTATGTATGTGTAAGTTTAATGTTACTGGTTCAAACGGATACGAAAATTATTGGCATCACGTTGGCACTTTCTTTTGCTTTCCTCGAGCTAAAGTTTATTTTCACCAACATTTTTAGCAAAGTAAGTTTTCACCATTTTTATAGGAAGAGTACTTATTCTACATTTGTTGATTGTTGTAATATTAATCTAAGTTTGCATTACTGTAGTCTGATTTTAGTTTTATAATTTAGTTGAATTGACTTTAGGCAAAGCAAGAGTGGCACACAAATTAGCATATTTGTTCTTTGGGTTCTAGCAAAATAATGTTCTGACATTTGCCCTTAGGCTGTACCGAATTCTGAACTGTCCATGATGAGTTTTTGTTGCTTCTGCATCACAGTGATTAGCTTCAATTATGTATATTCTTTCCTTATCTCCCATGTTTTTCAGTAACTAAAATGTGTGTTATCGTTTTCCTTTTAATTGTTTGGATGTATAAAAATACTTCTCTGAAACTGAATTTTGAAGGAGAGAAAGGCCAAAGTCCATTAGACAATTAACTTGTGTACATACCTTAGGAATTGGTTTTGGTCAAATGCTTGAAATAAAGAGTTAAAAGGATATGAACATGAAATCTCTTTTACCAAAAAGTGCACCAAAATCACAAGCCTTTCACGCGCAATCTCGAGGTAGCTTAGAAAGGAAATATTATGAACATTCGTGGTTGACTTTAGTTGAATACATTCTTTTAAAACAAATTGAGGCGTGCCATTTAGTCGAATTTTCATGGCCCTCGCAAAATTTAAAAACGCGTAGTTGCTTTAAGCGCGTAATCTTAAAGTTACCTTCATAAACTCAGGTGTGCATTTCATGTGACCCAAATTCAAATCTCAACAACGTTGAATAAAATGTGTTTCGGACTGCGGGTGCATTTCATGTGGCGCGGTCCAAAAACATATTTTAGACGGCGTTGAAATCTTCCTTAAAATAATTAAAAGTGGTTTAAAGTTAAAATGCACATAGGTTCAAACGTGTTTTAAAATTAGAATAATTAGGCCAATAAAAATAATTGAGCGACCGTGCTAGAACCACGGAACTCGGGCATGTCTAACACCTTCTCCCGGGTTAACAGAATTCCTTACCCGGATTTCTGTGTTCGCGGACTGTAGGACAGAGTCAAACTTCCTCGATTCGGAATTTCAACTGGTGACTTGAGACACCATAAATTATCCCAAGTGGCGACTCTGATTTCATATAAATAATCCTGTTTCGATTGTCACTTAAATTGGAAAAACTCCCTTATATCTCCTCTCGGGTGTAAAAAGGAGGTGTGAAAGCTCTGGTGACTCTGTTGGGGATTAGAACCTAGAATTTCTGGTTCTGGGTTCAAGAATTCGAGCTTAGAATAATTGTTATAGTTGGCTTTGCCCATCATCTGATTTTGTTACATGACTTGGGCCTAATGTGCTAATTGATCGCTTTTACCGCTTTGATATTCCGTGAACTGTATATAAACTGTTGCGAAATCCCTCCTTTCTATGAGTCTTCTAAATCATGAAGAATTGTGCACTTTGTGTGACTTCTTTTCTGTTAGAGTCATATCCCAAATTTAGAACGAGGTTCGGACAAGTTGCAAAGCCGGTGAAGCTTCTGTATTCCCGGTACGCTTCCCCCCCTCGGCTCGAGATGTCCGCTCGGGTAAGCCAGGTCAAGAATAATAAACCCAGGTTTTGAACCTAGTATAACAAGACCTCATGCCAGATCCCTAGTAGGAACGTTTGCTTGCATCACGTGCATTTGACTTTGGGGACTCAACACAAAGGTTGGGTCTGTCTAGGACAAGTGTACCCAAATTAAAAAACCATCCTGATGCATCATATGTGCTACTTGTGTATCTGTTTGTTTCGGCTTGTATGTTGACTAGCTTCTAAAATAGGGACAGAAAATAAAAAAAAAGAGTGCGAAGTAAGTATTTGAATTATCCTGAAACTCTGACCAAAATTTTAAAAAAAGAGAAAAAGTCATTTCAAAATAAGTCATATTTTCTTTTGTTCCGTCAAAACTGGGCGAACTACGCGAGTCTGATTCTCACCGGAAGTGAGATACGTAGGCAAACCTCATCGGTTTCTGCCCATAATTTTCAAAAATTCAAAAATATTTTCCTTTACTTCCTTCTTTAGAAAAGTCTTTCTTCGAGCCCACAATTTTCAAAAAAACAAATCCAAAAATATTTTTATTTTTTTTAGAAGTTCACCTTTCGAAAATTGGAAAGAAAAATACCATATTCAAAAATAATTTCTTTTCTCCTTAGAAGTCTTTCCTTCATGAATTCAAAATAAAAGTAAAAGTCCAAAAATATTTCCTATCTTCTTTAGAAATCTTTCTTTAGAAATTTCCAGAAAAAAAGAAAAAGAAGTTAAAATTCAAGAAAATATTTTTTTTCCTCTTCTTTAGACGTCTTTATTTTAAAAAAATCTTTAAAAAAACAACAACAACAAAGAAATCGAAATCCAAAAAATATTTTCTTTCTTCTTTGTAAGTACTTCTTTCAAAAAAAAAATTCAAAATCCGAAAAAGAGTTAGTTTATTTACTTCATTTCTAATCTTCCGAACTATGCAAGATCTGATTCATGTTCCCACATGATACGTAGGCAACCCACATTAGGTTCGAGCACCAATAAAAATAAATGAAAATAATGAAGAAATGAAAAAATATTGATAATAATAAGGACCGACTGAGTCCATTCTAACATGTTTTGTTTTGAATTGTAAAGAAAGTTGAGGTGGTCGGTTTGTGGTAATCTGGAAACACAAGACCCAAGGAAAAATGATAACTGACATCGAAGCTGTTACAAGTACTCAAGAGACTCAGGGTCAGAGGGTTCAACAAGAGTCTACTGTGTTTGAGAAAAATAGAATGCTGAAACAACAAATAACCGAAATGTGTCAAGCATGAACCAGTGGTTAAGGACAGCCTCGTCATGAGTCACAATTTGCTACACAGCAAGAGCAATACCACTCTCCTGAGTACCACTCGTACTCGTTTGATCTTCCTACAAACATTGAGAAGCCTGCCCGAAAGATGGTACAGGAAGAAATGACCCAAAGAGTGAAAAGCATAGAACAACGGTTGAAAAACATGCAAGGGTTGGCAGGTCAAAAGAGTGTTGCCTTCAAAGATCTATGTATGTTCCCCGATGTCCACTTGCCGCCTGGTTTCAAGACTCCCAAATTTGAAAAGTATGATGGACATGGAGACCCCATAGCCCACCTGAAAAGGTATTGCAATCAACTGAGAGGTGCGGGAAGAAACGAAGAATTGCTGATGGCTTATTTTGGGGAAAG